TATGTAAATACAAAATGGATTTTTTACAACTCTATTTAGTGACATGAAAACTTATTAATGGTGAACTACATTAATTCTAAGTACAAAGAGGTCACTGATGTAGTTTGCCTATATTTGAAATGCTTATTCTTATTCATCATTTAACATTTTTGCAGTAATTTCCAAAATCAACACCATTTTCTAAGCTCACTATTAGCCCTTAAGGAGCCATAAAATGCAATAGCTTTGAGATGTGGAACTAGTGGGCTAAATATTCACATATGCAACAAGATAAGAGTATAATGCAATATATAACAATTATATCCCCAATTGCACCATGTAAAAAATAAGACTTTATCATACAATAATAAAAGAGAAATTCTCTAGTGTAAGTATTTCAAGGAAAAGAGACTAAAACTCTCCATTCAGAATTCAACTACAGCAAAGACAGCTACAATCAGGAAGCTTAAAACAAATCTCTTCCATGAACTGATTAAATGGCTTTTCCAAATTCTTTTTTGTTCCTAGAGCAAAGCTATTGGAAGGATAAAAAAGTGATGCATGTGATTTCCTCTGAACATTTGTTCTCTGAAAGAAGTGAGAGCATGTCCCTCCTCAAGAAAACAATACCCAATTTAGATATATAGGACAATTACCATCTCCAATCACCACTTTAGAGTGAAAGTTGTAGAGAGTAACCTCAAGAGAAAGGAAACGGGTTATTTTGAACCATTTCAATCAGGTTTTCAGCTCAGGTTCATAGCATTCATGTTATATATGATCTCTGATTGGATTTGTAGCAGAGTAGAACTTTTATACAGCTCCTATTCAATATTCATATGAAACTGCTGGGTGATATCATAGCATGGACAGAGAGACAGGTTTCATCAGCATGCTGATAATACCCAATTATACATCTCAATTTTTGGCCACATAAATCATGCAATTGAAGTTGAGATGACCAGAGACTTCCTGGGTTTACACAGAGAGAAACAGATTAAGATTCAATGCCAGTGTACCAGTAAGGCAGAGTAACTATGGATTCGGAGGTCTACAGAATCTAGTGAACAGAATTGTACTTCCCTGGCAGTGCTAGTTCACATTTGAGGAGCCTTTTGGAGTCACAGCTCCTGCTCAAGAAGCAGATGACAATTGTCACCATGTGAGCATTTACACAATTCCATCTTGTGTACCAACTATAATCATTCCTGAGATGGGTGGCATTAATTATTGTCACTCACGCTTTAGTTACCCCTTGAGTAGATTACTGCAATGCATACTATTTAAGGGCTACATTTGAAGAACATTTAGAAACTACAGATGGTCCAAGACTTAATAGCTCATGTAGTTATAAGTACCCTACAAGGCTCCTACTTAAAAACTCCTTGAAAGACATTGATTTCCATTTTGTTTCTAGAGGTAATTCAACATACTGATTTTTACTTTCAAAGCCCTTCATAGTGGAGGTATCTATAGACCGTCTTCTTATAGCCTACCTAATAAGTTTCTGTAGGGTGGCTCACTGTATATCTCCTCTATCAGAGATGTTACCTTCAGGGAACATGAAAAATAGATAAGATCCTCTCTATTGTCACTTTTTCTGTGTACATACTGGCACACTTAAAAATGAAATTTTGATGCCCTTTTTCAAAAAAATCTGTGTGGGTGTATACTCCCATATATATACATACACACATATATACATATGCTGTTTGTACACACACACACATATATACATACACATATACATACACACACATATTATACAAAACTGGACACTATATAGTTGTTTCATCAAGCCAGGATAGACAGGTTGTTATGACTATCCTTCTGGATGATAGAAAGTATTTTATTTTTTTGGTTATGATTCCTGGTTTTATAGGATTACAATTACAATGGATAATGCTGTTTTAATTTGATTTATATTATTTAGTTTTTAATCTCAATTACATAACAAGGAACTATGCAATCAACTGACTGGAGCAGCTCTGTAAATACTGAAATGCTTAATACCAGGGGTGGGTTCTAAATTTTTTTACTACTGGTTCTGTGGGCATGGCTTATTTTGTGGGCATGGCTTGGAGGTCATGTGACTAGGTGGGCATGGCTAGCTGGTCAGAGTCATTTCTGGAAGGTCCTTGCACTTACGACCAGTCCTCGCACTTACGACCCGACTCATTTGTTTGCTTTTAACACTGATCAGCTGTAGGACGGCCCTTTGAAGCCCCGTGGCAAGAGTTTAAACAGTTTTTTTTCCCCTCTAGTCATCAGCTGGGACTCAGGAGGCAGCAATAGATTGGGGGTGGGACCAAATAAAAGATAAGAATAACGTGGGGGGGTGGGGGTGGGAGGGCAGGGGGGAGAACCGGTTCGGTGACGTCATATCATCACTGCTACCGGCTCAGCCGAATCGGACCAAACCAGGAGGAACCCACCGGTGCTTAATACCATTATCCACAAATACTACAGAACACTGGAGTAGAAAAAAAAGAGAAAACTAAGTTTATCTTTAAGTATGCCCTGTTTGGCTACTAAGCGGAACAATGCAGAGATTTATCTCAAGTACTATGATCAGGTATATCAATATAGCTATCTATAGCTATCTACAAACATCTACAGACATCTAAAGACCCACCTCTCTAAAAAACCTCTATGCTGGGACAAGTAAAAAAAAAAAAAAACAACTAGGAAGAGACGAACCAGCAGCAAGATGGATGGACTTAGTTATAGTGGTGTTAAGTACACACCACACTGATTCCCATTTTATTTCTGAAAGGAATTCAAAATGTTCATTTTTACTTTCAAAGTCCTCCATCATTCATGGTCTAGATATCTACAAACTATCTTCTCTTGGTAGCATCAGCCTGGCTAATCAGATGGGAGACTTGAAAGAACAGGTTAGGGACAGATCATCATAGAGAGCACCTACGTAGTTGCTAAGGATCAAAAACAACTTGATGGTGTATGTATGTATGTATGTATGTATGTATGTATGTATGTATGTATATATATATGTTTACACACAGATACATAATATTTACTGATTCGCAAATAACATAGTCACTAGTGGTAAATGTGTTTTCCTTGAGTTTTTGTTACTGCACTTTATTTAGAAACCTTAATAAAGGAAACCTTGTACTAGGACATACATAAACCCAAATGTGTAAAATATCTAGTACTTCAGAAGATAAGAAGATCGACTGGGTTCAGAAGTACTTCACAAGAAAAGTCTTGCACTCTTCTGTACACAATAGAATTCCTTATGCTACAAGGCTCGAAATTCTCGGTTTGGATAACTTAGAAGTGTGTCGCTTGCGGTCAGACCTAGGTATTGTATACAAAATTATACATAGTAATGTTTTACCTGTAAATGACTTTTTCTGTTTTAATCACAATAATGCACATGCAGACAACCGCTTTAAACTCAATGTAAATTGTTCTAAACTTGACTGTAAAAAATATGATTTCTGTAATAGAGTTGTCAAAGTTGTCAGGTAGGAATACTCTATCTGATTCAGTTGTTTCAGCTACAAATTTTCACAATTTTAATCACAAATTGACTTCCGTGGACAATCAATCAATCAATCAATCAATGACATAAAACCCATTAAAAGGGGTGGCTGTCTCAGATTACGATTATAGGTGATTACAATTATAGATGCCCAAATAAACATACTCCAATTAATTTCTAGACAGTTCAGTTTTAAGCTTGATTAAGCTTGATTGTGCATTATAATAAAACCACAGGGCTGTGATTTTGAATACATATTATTAGTTTAAACTTCTCCTGCAGCCTAATTCTGAAATGAAATGAATGGAATGATTTTTTTGGACAGGTCATTTACCAGTTTTTAATTCTGATAGGGAACAAAATCAAAAGACGGGAATATGGATCCAGAGTTCTATTATATAAGCCATCATAATCTACTACAAATATGAAATTAATATTAATATAAAACTAATCAATTTCTTCAACTAATTCAATAGAATACTAGATCTGCAAAGGCAGAGATCCTTTCCAGCATCACAAAAATCTTATTTTCTCAAATAGTCTACCCCCAGGTTTTAAAAAGTTAGTAGATAATTGAGAATGAGAAATACTGTTCAGTATGAAGATATTGATAAAACAAATGCATACTTTTAAAATACTAAGAGAGCTAATGTTATATATTTATACTCATTTGTAAATTTGACAGCATACATACAGCTACTGTTTGATTCCTAATTACGTACTAATAATGTCAAGACAGTTTTCTGAACACTTTCATTCTGCCATGGCAAGTTATGAAGAAATGACCATGAAAATAATACATAGAAAACACTGTACTTATTAAAATTAGATCCTAGTAAGATTATAGTTTATATCTTGCATGTGAGATAATAAGCACCTATACATATAAAAAGTTTAACTGCATACATATAAATGTTATATTGTATGATATCCACCTTCTACCACTGAACTACTAATAATGGTATGAGAACAATGTAAAATGGAAATCAGCTTTTCCCAATGTGTTGACTATGGGGATTATGGGAACTGAAGTCCAGCACCAAGTTGAGTTTTGCCAGTAGAGAATTCTCAAACAATAAGAATTAACATTAGGCTCAAGATTCCCCAACGCAGCACTAAAGCCAATACACCTGTTAAGAATAATGTAGTGAGGGAAGTAATATTTGCCCATTAAACAAGGACTTTTGCAAACCAAAAAATCTACCTTCACACATATACTGTACACCCCAACAAGAGCAATAGAAAGAAGTGATGAAGAGGTTACCTCTCCAAAGATATAAGAATACTTTTTTCTGTATTACAAAATCAGTTGCTGACACCCACTTCCCACATTCCCTTCTTTGCACACCTAAGCATAATGTTAAAAGGAAACCCAGCCTGAAGGAACCAGAAAGGTATGCGGGGATGGCTTCGAGGCACAGATTCTTAGCAAAGCACACACACCGCTGGCAGACAAAGCGCCCGCCTGCTAGGATGAGGCTCTTAAGTCTAAGCAGCCTCTCCAGCTCACCTCCCAGCCAATTATTGGAGATATTCTGCAGCAAAGTGAAAGGGACGCAGAAGAAAGCAATGAGCAGGTCGCTGAGGGCCAGCGAACAGATGAAGATGTTGGTGACGGTCCGCATGGCTTTGCGGCGGGCCACCACGTACAGCACCAGGCAGTTCCCGAAGAGCGCCAGGCCGAAGATGGCCGCGCAAGTGAGCGTGAAGGCCAGCTTGGCGCGCTCGGGTAGCTCCGGGATGTAGACCAGCGGCTGGAGCCCATAGAGCGCAATGAACTGCTCGCGGGTTACGTTGTTGTCGCGCAAGAGCTGCGCGAACTGTTCCGGCGTAATGTTCAGGGCTCGCATAGTTCAGGATCGAGCTTCTGTCTTCCCTCGCTCCTCGGACATGCCAGGCGTTGTCGGATTTTTTTATTTTTTGTTTAAGCTCGAGGGATAAGAACTAGAGTCTCCTTCAACTAAGAACCCGCCTTTTTCTTAGACTAGATAAAGAGATCCCGGGCAAAGTCCTCGAAAGAGCAGCCTCAAAGCTCGAGCGCCTCGATGCAGAATAAAGTACAACTGGGCGACGGAGGATCCCGCCCGCGAAACCCGAAACTTTATAGAGGCGAAGGAGCGCCGAGCGACAAACTAACCGCGCTTCCCTTTGCTGTTGATTTTTGCCCTTAAGGCTTGCAAAAAGCCCGCGCAAACGAAGCGTCCTTATTGAATGCTTGATCCAAGCCACTAGTGGCTAGCCGGTCGAGAAAGGCGGCTTCTCTGCTGTTCCCTGCTGGGTCTCCGCCTTCAAAGTTTCCGAAGTGGCGGCTGCTCGGAGCGGAGCGAGGGTTGAGTAGCGAAAGAAGAAAGTGAGGAAACCGCCGTGTGTTGCTGTGAGGATTGGCGCTTGGAAAGGACTTGAAACGCGGCCAGTCAAGCAAGCTGGGAGAAGGATGCTAGCGGAGATGCGTAGGAGGATTGCTGCTGTGCGGGAAGGAGCCTGAGGAGCGCCAGGAACCGGCGGATTTTTTTAAAACGTGGTTTCCCAGTTTGGTGCAACCCAGGTGCATTGGATGACATTCTTTAGCCACAATCCTGGGATTTGGCACGCCTAGAGGACACATTGAAGAAAGCTGCTTTAATTCTCGGGATGTTTAGAGTTTATTGTTATTTAGCCAATGCTGAGGTTCAGTTAAGTGGATAGCCTGAAATATTAAGACCAAGGATCTTGTGATCATAGCACTTGGAATCCGGGAGGAAGATCTATAATGAATTGAATGCTATCGAATACTACTTGAAGAACTAAAGGCTGTTTGGTTGACTTAGATTGGGGAAGGGAAACTATATCGTAAAAAAGAACTAATGTTCTTCTGAAAATTGCATTTCGCTTTTGGTTGCTTTCTGTAGTTTTGTCCCATTTCCAGCTAAGCATTATGCAAAGATATGGCCACGCTGGGATCAGTTAAAACAACTGCTGGTTGCTTTTATTCTACATCCACAACTTTAAAAACTGAAGGTGGTGTAATGCATATAAATGCAGCAGCTATGCCAACCAATTATCACATCAATCTTTGTGCTGGACTTGTTTTTGTAGTCAATCTAGCTCACATTTTAGGAATAGTTTACTAGTCATGGAAACATTTTTATAAATCTCTCCTGCAAGGAGCTGATATCCCAGTAGATTTGAAGCAGATGCTATGGCAAAAGAGATAATTATCTGGCCTGTAACACAATTTCATTTCTTTACAACATCTGCTAAGAATTTCTTTTCCAAGGACTTAGTCTCCTAAATCAGTTCACTACTATCTATCCTTTTTATCCTTGAATCCTATAATAAAATTATTCATCAAAACTTACTTTGATTAATAAAGGTAAAAGGACGCTGCAGATTTTATTGCTGAATATAGTTGTTGCTGAATATAGGAGACAGTGCTCATCTCCATTTCAAGGCCATTGAACCAGCACTATTTGACATGTCCACGGTCATGACATCACAGAGCACTGTTACCTTCCCATCAAAGTGGTATCTATGTATCTACTCACATTTGCATGCTTTCAAACTGCTAGGTTGACAGGGTCGCGAATAGGAGCTCATCCTGTCGCATAGTGCTCAGGTCTCGAACCTGGGCTTCTAGCTTTCCAGCCAACAAGCACAGTGTCTTAACTGCTGAACCACCTCACCACCCCAATAAAAACTATCAATAAACTCTGTTTTTCTGCCCCATTTTGTACACATGTTACTCAGATCTTTTGATCTAGCCTTCCGAGCATGGATTTGTCAGCTGGAAAGCTGACAGCCCGGTTTCGAGACCCGAGTGCGCATAACTTGGTGAACTCCCATTACTTGCCCCAGCTTCTTCCTATCTACCAGTTTGAAGACATGCAAAAGTGTGTAGATAAATAGATACCACTTCAGTAGGAAAGGTACAGCATTCCATGCATCTCAGTTTATAGTCATGCTGGCCCTGTGACCACGGAAATTATCTTTGGACGATGCTGGCTCCTTGACTATGAAACAGAGATGAGCACCTAGAGTCAGACACAACAGGAAAGGGGAAATCTTTACATTTACCTTTAAGATACTCAATTAAGTTATTACCTATCTTTGGAACTATTAAATTTTAGAAGATCCCAGAATGTTCTGCAGGTACCAGTAATCTTGCGATGCCCCACTTTTGAGATATTGTAGGAAGAAAGCCATGTTGGTCTATGATAGCAAAAAATCAGAAAGAGTTTAATAGCACCTTTTTTAAGTAGAAAATGTTATTAAAGACATAAACTGAGCTGTAGCTCATGAAAGGTCATATTTTTTAATAAAATGTGTTGCAGACTCCTTCCATTATAAGACCACTAGGGATAAACAGCTGTCTGGATAGCTAAGCCAAATAAAGTTTTCTGTAACCACATCATCCTTGACATTTTTGTGCAATTTACCTGACTTTTTATCCATGCTTTTCACTGCATAGTACAAATTGTGTGCATTTCTAATATATCTGTAAGATGAATGCTTTCAGACTGAATTGCCATAAACAACCCACTTAATATAGACCGTAAAGAAAACTCTAAGATGAGTTCATGCTGCCTGTATAGATTTCAGTACTATATATTCAGTACTACATAATGTAATTGGTAGGTATATACAGATAAAATATTATGTTCATTGTGATGCAGGGGCTGAAAGACTAAAACAGTAGGGGGGGATCTATTTTTAAATTTCCAGATAAACAATTTAACTGTCTTCCCAGGAAAATGAAAGAAATACAAAGTGGAAATAATGACCACAGAGCTCTATATCTGAATATGAATAAGAAGAGAGAAAAGGAATTATGTTAGCTACTTTAAAAATATAAGCACTGAAAAGCTGGAAAAACACAAAAAAGTACATATATACTGTATGACAGAATAAGAAGTGAAACTGAAGTGGTAAAGTTAAAATGCTTCAAGGTTGAACAAATATGTATCTTGTTAATATCCTTACGTTAGAAAACTCAATGAATAAGATAGCTATCAGTGTCTGAATATTTTTAATTGAAAATATTAATAGTTTCAAATAGTTGAACTCAAGATAGTTCTGAATAGTTGCAGAATGTTGCTGTCCTATCTTTATACTGGATTTTAATATTTTGAAACAAGCTTTCCTTGGATTACTTTTGCATGCATCACATTTCAGCTTTTATTTCTTAACAACTACTTGCGAACTCAGAATGATTTGATTAATAAAAAAACCAAAAGTTCTAAATCATATTGTCCTTTGGCTCTATTTCTCTCATATCTGCACTCCCTAATTCCACATTTCTCTGTTTCTGTTCAGGAGGCAAAAAACTCATAGAGAATTCATAGATCTAGTACAATAGAATTCAAAGGGACCTTGGACCTTGGTCTGCTAGTCAAACTCTCTGCTCGAGCAGGAAACCCTATACAAGGGGTGTCAAACTCAAGGCCCACGGGCCGTATCGGCCTGCAGGGTGCTTAGATCTGGCCTGCAGGGCCATCCTGAAAATACGAATGGACCAGCCCATGGAGTCTCTGCCAGCCAAAATAGGCCATGCGGGGGGGGCTATGAGGCTCCTCCCGTGCCCCATTTTGTCCAGCATTGGCACTGTGGGCCAGTCCTTTGATATTTCCAGGCCAGCCCCACGGGCAGGAGGCAGAGTGCTGCAGGAGTTAGAGGCTGCAGCCTATTTTGGCCAGCAGAGTGCTGCAGGAGGGAGCACCTTCTTCACCTTCTCTTTAGGAGCATCTGCCAATTAGAACTAGATACCCTCCAAGATCTGGATGGCTTTGTTCAGAAGAGCCAAAAACATCTGGCTGTTCACCCAGATCTTCGATGAGAGAGAGTAAGCCCCCTCATAACACTGAGTTTGTCATCTTATCTTAATCTTAGATCAATCTGTGATTAATCTAATTGTAATTTTTTTTATTGATGTATTTTTTATTGTGAGCCACTCAGGGTCATTCATTGAGAATTGGGTGGTATATCAATTTTGTAAATTATTTCTAATATTAAGTCTTCCTCTAGAACTGTGTCAAAGGCCGTAACTGTTCTGACCCGGTCTTTGCAGATGCAAGAAACAGACTCTCTGCAAAGAAAACCCCCTCTTTATTTACACATTGGGAATTAACTGCATTCACCAACAGAAAGTCCAGGCAAGAGTTCTGCAAGGAAGTTAACTGAAACAATAATCCTTATCAGCTCGTTCTGATAAATGCAAGGCCGTGAGCTCCCAGCTGGGAGGCTGCAAATTAAGTTCAAACAGAGAAATAGATAAACATCAGTTCTGGCAAGGCAGTCTTTGTTGCACGAAAAACACAAGGAGCAAACTTTCCAGAAATGCGAATGGTTGTCTGTGACAACCAAACCACTCCCTTTTCCTTCTATTTATTCCTCAACCAGGGAGGAATACGTTTGTTTTGCTTCCCAAGCCGGCTCATTGTCCTCCGTTGTTCACCTCTTCTATCTGCTCTGCGCATACACGCAACTGGAACAGGCCCCAGCTGTTCCTCCTCCGCACTCATCTCTGACTTCAAAGGCAACTGCCTCTCTGGCTGGGAAATGCCAGGCGGCCCTGGCTCTATCTCTGTGTCTGACGCTGAGCATCCATCAGAGCCTCCCCCAGGCTCCAGAACTGGCCCAAGTTCTTCCCCAACCTCCTCATCTTCCGAGTCTGCCGCCAGCTCCACTGGCAGCTGGCAGGCCACAACAGTAACAAAGATTGATAGACTCTTGGACAGACAGTTTTTAGAGACATCTGGAGAAATTGTCAGTTCATTTATGCTCTGCTCCTATACAAAAGAGTCAAACCCCATAGCAGCTGGGGACTCTACATGACTTTAATCTCTACATTATGGAATTGAGACTATTTGTGCCAGAAAGTAAATCTCCCTTTGTCTGGAATAGCTGTTTTGAATACAAAGGGCAAAAAATGCATCTTGAGCCTGTGTCAAACACCCACCATGGCCACGGCCACCATAGCCACAGCCTACCCCAGCCACCCCTGCCCTCTGAGGTCAAACACACCCTGATGTGGCCCTCAATGAAATTGAGTTTGACATCTCTGCCTATACCATTTCAAACAAATGGTTGTCCAGGATCTTTTTGAAAGTGTTCAGTAATGGAGCACCCACAGCTTCTGAAGGCAAGCTATTCCACTGGTTGACTGCTCTCAATGTTAAGAAATTTCTCCTTAGTTCTAGTTGCTTCTCTCCTTGGTTAATTTCCAACCATTGTTTCTTGTCTTGCCTTTTAAGGCTTTGGAAAATAGTTTGACCCCCTCATCCTTGACCCCCCCTCAAATGTTGGAACAGTGTTATCATGTTATCCCTAGTCCTTCTTTTCATTGGATTAGATATACCCAATTTGTATGCTTTAGCCTCTAGCCCCCTAATCATTCTTGCTCTTCTCTGCACTCTTTCCAGAGTCTCAACAACTCAACTCTTTTATATTGTGGTGACAGAAGTGGATGCAACATTCCAACTATGGTCTTGCTAAGGCTTTGTAAAGTGACAGTAGAACATCACATGATCTTGATTCTATTGATTCCCTCTATTAATGCAGTCTGGGGTTGCATTGGCTTTTTTGGCCGCTGCCACACACTGTTGGCTCATATTTAAGTGACTGTCCACTAGGACTCCAAATCCCTT